TTGTTCCTGTGACTGTAGTCACCTGACTTGTCATTCTTTTTGAAATTTTATTGGCTAATAACTCAAAATTCGCATAACAGTCAGGGAATATGTTACACAGACTGATTTTATATAGTAACATTATACAAAATTTTGCACCTTACTTTTCATTTGTTATAAGAGTACTTACAAAAGCTTTCTAGATATTCGATCTTTATATATTAATAAAACTTATTCTACGAGATTTATTATATTTATATATGCTATTTTATTTTTTATTTTTATTTTGCTTTTTGATATATTATATGACAAAGTAGAGCATAATTTTTAGCTTTATTGCTCGCATTATTTTTCAAAAAGCAAGGTATTCATTTTTTTTTGATTTAACAAGCTACTATCAATAGCGGGCTATAAGGTTATTTAAAGCACAATATAGAATTTATTAATAAACTTTTCTAATACAACAGAATGAAGATTTTACTATATTTTTTATATGTTAGAAAATCATTCAACATAAGAATAATGAAATTGAGTAAGTTTTAAAATTCAATATAGAGAGATTGGATCTGTTGAGAAAATCTTTATCCAGGTATTATTAAATTACTCAGATTATCTGGGTAAATTATTATGTATTTTGGGTAATCATATAGCAACAGTTTTGCCTGGGTCCAATTCCTAGTTCAATCTTTTGTAGCTAATAAATAGTTTTTAGCTGAAGCATTAACTAAGTTCTTAGTTTGTCTTCCTTTTGCAATCTCTTTTTTAGTTTTGTAAATTTCTTCATTCAGAATATTATATAATCAAACAAGACTGCTTCTGTAAAAATTAAACATTCACGTATAACCATCTTGGCTTATTTCTTGCGTATATTTAAAAAGATAATGCTAAGTAGAATCAGGATAACCGAATGCAGTAGTAAGATCCTCAATAAGCTGCCATAAAGTTTCAGTAAGCTGATTAAATATATGATTTCCTGTATTAATTATATTGTCTTCTACAAATTCATTGTAGAGTAATATCATTCTTCTACGCTCATCTTGAATTGCCATTATTCGCTGTTTTAGAACTACTGGATTTGATAAACCAGAAGTTAAGTTTTGCTTAACAAACTTAATGCCATATTGCTCCAAGGCTTCATCAAAAGCTAAGTAGTGGTTTTTTTTAGTAATATTTACTGAAGCAATGTGCTTAAAAAGTTCATATTGTTGTAGATTACGTGATACTGATTCTAAAAAGATTATTACTGACAATATATAAATATTTTTACCAGTAGCAGGAAATAGTGGCGCAAATGCAGCCAAACTTTCTAATTGCATATCTGCATTACCCAAACAAATGCTCATACGATGAGCTTTTCAATATCCAGCTAAGCAGTAATATAAAAATCATACTTTTAAAATATTGTTATTTCTTCTAAAAATAATTTCTACATCTAATAGTATGTTGTTCTTTTTTAAATAGAGATGAATTGCAATTCCTACAGCTGTATAGATTAATTCTAATACTCTGCAAGTTGAACGATAGTCTACATTTTGCTCTAGCTTTTCAAGAAAATTGATACTGAGTTTTGTTTCATATTATAAAGACCATATCCACTGAATGTGAAAATCAAAGCACTGCATATGGCTTTCGAAGTATGCCATTGTCCAAGGATAAATCGACAGGTTAAATTATTATTTTTATATGATTTAGTTTATGCAAAAATAGCCGCATCATATGCTAAGTCAACTACATTTTGTCCAAGATCTTTTAGATATATATTAATTGACTTAAATACAGCATCATTGCTATTAGGTGCTGGTCTAGATTCCAATATGACAACGTTTGGCAGATTTATTCGACATTCTGACTCAATAATAGTGTCATTAATTTGTTTAACTCCAAAGTTTTTTTCGTACTTATTTAGTAATTGTTCTATTATTTGATCGAATTTATCATCCCATTCGGATGTAAATACTGATTGACCAAATAGATTTTCTCAAGGGTTTGGATTTTCTTGAATAAGAGACGATATACTAAACAGAAGTTCAAATTGAAATATCATCCTTAGAGTAGCATGTGCGGATTGCCGTGTGATAACATAAATATTCCCATACTTAAAAACAATATTCTTGAAATCAATATTATCAATCACAGCAACATTCCATATATTTGGGCCTTTTACTAACCTTGCTAAAGGATTAGATTTACTTATATGGTCTTTTTCTAAAATTGTTTTGTGCTTCCAAGTATGAAATGTAATATGTACTGTATGCAATATTGCTTGCAAAGAAAATATTAATTTAGGCTTTTTACATAAAGAAGCCATTGTGTAGGTAAGCCATATTTTCCATGAATAAAATGCTATTGTTAGGATAATAGATGCAAGAAATGATATAATTTGTTTTATGGCATCTGTATTGAATTTAGATTCTTTTTGTCCACATTGTTTGCTTTTCCTTTTTCTTACTTCATATATTTGTTTTTCAATAGATTCAATTAATCTATGAAAAAAACTAGTAAGAGCTGAAGGAAAACTATTATAATATTCGTTTAATGAAGATGGATTCTCTAACTTGAAATGATTTTTTTCAATATCTTTATGTGAATTATGTATGAAATTTCCTAATACTTGTCCAAATTGTCGACACTCTTCTGCTTTTATAAGTTTTTTATTTGTAGATGAGTAATTGTCGAACTTATTAATTTTCATGGCAATTTTTACAAGCAGTAGATTAGGTAGATGAAACTCCGTATTTATTAAGGATGAGGATGATGAATGTGATCCCAGAGTTTCTAACAATTTCATCATATGCTGCAATACTTTTTTTTTATTCTCGTTTTGAGAATATGAAAGATTTAATAACCAAGATAAAAAAAGCCTTAAAATATAACTAGTATCTTCTATATGTAATTTATTATCGATATATGTTTGAGACTTTCTTCCCAGTTCTGGACGTTTATGAAGATGTCCACCATGATTTTCAAAACATTTAGTACAAATATATCTAACATATCTGTCATCAATAGTAAATAGTGAACTAATATTTGAAATTTTTTGAAATATAGAACATAATTTTAAACCAATACACAGTACTTGAATATCTCTTTCACATACATTCTAACAATGTTCTATACAATCTCTACCTCGGCTAAAGAACTTTTTATATTTATTACATAATAAACATTTTTTTGTATGAACCACACTTTTACTAAAATATCTTAATGCTTTAGTTTTAGGCGTGTGAAGTTGTTTATGATCAAAGTTGAAATGACTAGAGCAAACATCCAACTCAGTTAAATCTGCTGATTCTTCTGGTATTAATTCTATTTCCCATATTCCAATTAATTGAGATATTAATACCAAAGAAATTGTTGAATTGCAGTGCCCAATTACTCTGTTTGTATTATTGACGATAACACAAGGTAACTGTTTTGTTGATCTAATTTCTGGAATTTCATCACAATCCATATCATCATCATCATCATAATCATATTCGAGTAATGTATCTTCAATATCGATATCTTCATCCTGCATTATTTGATCTTCTAATAAACTTTTTGCTTTTGTTGCAGCCAGATAATCATGAATAAACATAAATTCCTGATCATCAGGGTTAGTGCTCCAACTTTCTTCTTCAGGATTTTCGTACATGGAATAATAGTCTTTCATTAGAATTGATTACTAAAGTTTTACTAAAAACTGTTAATATTATATATTTGTAGATAATAGTTTTATTTCTTAATACTAAATGGAATGCTCAGATACCTTATTTATAGATTTTTTTTAAAGAAATTTTGACAAAGATCATTTGAGTGTCGCTTAAAAGAAAACCCAACAATTTAAATATAAGTCATATTTAAATTTTTGAGTTTTCTTTTAGCGATACTCATTTCAAAAGATGGGTATTTTGAAAAACAAAGTATCTTAAACAAGGCATTTAGACAAGCAATTTTGATGATTTTGGCAAGGCACTTTATACAAGGCGATTTTGACAAAGCATTTTTTACAAAGTATTTTTTTTACAAAGTATTTTTTGACAAGGCGGTTTTGATAAGGCACTTTTGACTAAGCACTTTTTGACAAGGCAATTTTGACAAGGCACTTTTTAATAAGGCAATTTTGACAAAGCACTTGTAACTAAATATTTTTAGCAGGATGATTTTAACAAGGCATTTTTGATAGGCACTTTAAACAAGATATTTTTGTTAGACACTTTGGACAAAGCGATTTTGACAAAGTGATTTTAATGAAACATTTTAAGCAAGCTATTTTAGACAAGACAATTTCGATAGAGCATTTTAAACATGGTACTTTAAACAAGGCGTTTTAGATTAAAAATTATTTATTAAAAAATTTTATTAATAATTAATCTCTTAAAACTTTTTTTTTTACTTTAATTCCATTATTTTACAATTTTTAATTTATTTCATTCTTATTTTATTTTTTCTTCAAAAATGCGATCATTACAGTTTTATTATAATTTTTATTCGTATATACTATAAGTAATAAAATGTAACAATTGTATATTATAAAAAATGTTTGAACAAAAAATTAATTAAATTCTACAAATAAATAATCGTTATATTTATTAAATTAATAAAAACATAAATAAAAAGTAATCTATAAACATAAATAAAAAAAATATCATACAGTGCTGACCATAGTACCCCCACATCAAAGTATCTCTCAAAAAAATTATATAGTCAAATATAAAATACTCGGGTATATCCTATGTAAAAAATCTTTTTATATGAAAATCACTTAATATAGTATCTGGATACTAACTTGGATTTTGCCCGTGAAATGTATCGTATTCGGGTACTATAGTTCGTGCTGTATAGTAAAACTTTCAACAGAAGGAAACGTACCTGATCCAAACTTATCCCATACCTGGTGTGCAGTACATAAAAAATTATTTCACAATGATGGATCACTTAACTATCAATATTACAAACATAATCTCTCACAGTTTGGATCAGGTACATTTCCTCTTTCAAATACTTGATTGATAAATAATTCTAAATAATCAGTATACTTCCAGCCTACCTTATATAAGCTTTAATGATAAAAATAGACCATTTCTTGATAATAGAAGAGAATAAGAAGCGGTTAAATAAAAGTGAACAAGAAATGAAATAAATTATATCATACTAAATTAACTTGAGTAAGAAACTCAGAAGTTGTCTATCAGCATGAATAGAAAAAAAATTAATAAAATGAAATCACGACTAATAGTAAAAATTCTTTCACATATGCTTTAAGAAATTAAAATAAGCCTAGCAGACTTCCCTGATTAAGGCTTGAAGATTTTAACACGACTGTAATAAAGACAAATTTGAAGTATAGCTCCAGTAAAATATGCGAAACTAACTTTCACAACTGTGAATTAGGTTACTTACTGTAGTTTAAAGATTCTTCTTATCTTGCTACGAACAGAAGCCTAAAGACATCTATTACAAATGGCAACAAATCCTGGTGAAAAGTTTTGAAAAAAGCGTTACTATAGAAAAGTGACAGTTTGAGGTTAAAACTTGAATCAAAATTTTGGCTAGTTACAGATTCTTAAGTTCTTTCTATAGAAAATCTTCCAAAGTATTACCAAACTTTAAGCCTGGCATTATTTTCCATTTACATATGAATCATTTTTCAAACTTATGTTGTCGATAGAGCGAAACCTGTAAAATAACGTTATATAGAACATAATTTTAATATCTTTTACACATCATGTAATTCGATTAAGGCAAATGAAAATTTTTTAAAATTTTCATAGTAAATTTCTAAAAATTTGATCTACATTTTACTATGATCATGCAGTTACATATACAGACATGTGATATATTCTCTGACTGATAATTTGCATAATTTGCAATTTATCAGATGCATAATTTGGCATTTACTGGATTATAATCCTGGACACTCTATAATTGGGTTAAAGTTACATGTGCCAGTAGACATTTTATGATCTACTTAGATTTTACTAATTTTCTTTCAAATTTCTATTGGCTGGAATTATTTGCACCAATTTACATATCACCTTTCTTTTATAATGTGATATCTTAATTGGGATTAGGGTTAGAGTTAGTGGGCAGCATTATACCAAAATTTTGCAAGAAATTTTTTTTGTTAGTACGCAAAAAGTGATTTCTTAGCTAAAATTTTGATATTAATGTGACTTTTCAGAATAGAGCGATTGTTTTTTAATTTTCGCATTATACCTGATCTTGCTTCCTAATTGGTTAGAATCAAATCACATTATTAAGGATCGTTGATTTCACCTAATTAAAAATGCGATTTACTGATAATCAATAGAAACTTGGAGATGAAATTAGTAAATGCATCTATCTGTACCTACTTTTTGACCTAAAATTCATATATTGATTTTAATCTTGATCTTGATACTGATATCATATACAAATTATCAGACAAACTAAAAAAAAAATTATTAAAGAACGGTCCATATAGGTTTGATAAATAATTTGTTTGCATGCTTTATGAATAAAATTTATTGTTTTTAAAAAGTTGGCATATTATAAGATCATACAAACTTAATAAATCAGTTCTCATAATCTGTCAGATCAAATTTTACAAACTTTATAGCTGTTTACTGAAACATCTGATAAAAAATCTGCTAAATAATTTTTTAGCCATTCTGGTTAAGTTATTATTTTGGAATAATAAATTCAATAAAATTACAAATTATACATACATATGTACATATATAACTTTTACATTACAGCTATTATCATTACTTCTAAGATATCTAAAATGACTGAAATATCTTCTGTTTCATTTGGTAAATTATCTAGTTCTCTGAAAATTACATCACTGTCTTCAGACTAAAGGTCTAGAGACAGCAATATAGTTTCTAAAAAGTTAGGTAATTTATTAAATAAAACAGAGAATATTTCGATTATTTGAAAATTCTTCAGGTGTCCCAGAAATAATGATAATAGCTATAATTAATGTAGTGGCAAATAATTATTGATCTGTATTACAAAAATTTTGCCAGCATTATTAAACTTGATGTATTAGCTTTATATAAGTTTTGGATAATGTTATTTATACAGTACGGGACAGTAAAAGACATCCAATCTATACATAGAGGTGCCAATTTTTAATGCTTATATAATCAATTCTAATTGGCTATTTTTTGTATAATTAATTCTTTTTTTTTTTATAATTCGGCTGTCCTGCCACTTTTTATTGAGATTAAACTATACTAAGAAATTTACATTCCCTA